TAGTTTACACAATAGCTACTCGCCTCTTTATCCATGTGGGAATCCACTCTTCAAAATCACTCACCAACTACACTGGCTGAAATGGAAACAAAAGCAGCACAGATGAACGAAATTGGGACGGGGCAGATGGACATGTCTTTTGCTGGACATATTAATTAGTTAATTGCTGATGTTAAACGTACTTATTTTTTAAAAAAAAATAATACTAGGGCTCTTAGGGTGTTTTTATAGTTTTAGTCTTATATATTTTAATTATTGTGTTTGCATTTTTTTTAACAAAAATTTTATTTTACTATTTTACTCTGTGGTAAACTGCCTTGAGCAAAGCTGTTTATAGAAGAGCAGCATACAGATTTAAACAATAAAATAAATATCTCTGTGCCGTACACTCTGAGAAATACTCAGTATTCTTATTCAAATCTTGAAATTTCTACTCTGGTATAGACACCACGTCTGCCCTTCTGTTGGTTTAAGTATCCAGGACTTCTGGACAAGAAAGAGTCACTTTATGATACAGTGAACAATACGGCAATTGAGTGATAGATGTAGAGGGAAAGACTATAGTGAACAATAAAATTGTCTGTATATCAATGTCCTTATTTATTTATTTGAAATAATGCCTTTGAATGGACACCTTTCCCAAGCATAAATGCATACTACTGTAGTCATGAAACTCCTATGCGGAATAAACGTTTGCCTTTTCTTCAGAACAGATCTGTATCCACTCTGTATCCACATCTGTTTCTGTGAGTGTGCCCACGTTGAGAATGAGTGAAAGGCAGGAACAAGTGTCGGGTGTTAGCCTGAGAGAGAGAGACAAGGAACCAGGTTCTGTCTGACCACACTTGTCACCTAAGCAGTCCTGCTTTACCACATGTATTTTAACTACTGTATAATTTAGTAGTTCATCCAGTATTTCTCAACCTTGGCAACTTTAAGATATGTGGACTTCAACTTCCCATGGCTGGCTGAGGAATCCTGGGAGTTGAAGTCCACACATCTTAAAGTTGCCAAGGTTGAGAAACACTGAGTTCATCTATTCAACTCCTAGGATAAACATAACTTGTGAATGCAAAGTTATACTAAGAATATTCCTGTTTTCATAATTAAAGGTTATGTGTTAATAGGGAAGCTATTTGTGTGTTTGCGTGCACATATCATGTACTATTCTCTCTTTATTTTTTAGCCAAGTGTTTAATCAGCCAATCCTATTTAATTTGTTCTATTTGCATTATGAAGTTTAATTCTCCAACACTGTTATCGGTGTTGCGCAAGTATGCATTATTTATCAGCAGTTGGCTCAGGACAACAAGAACATTTTTGTCCATTCTGCATGATCTTTTTAGACAATGCTACAGTTGCAAATGAAAGATAAAAGTTTTAACATTTCATTCCAGATTTTGATTACATTTTTCTAAGTATTATAATACCAGGGTTTAGCCAAAACTTTATTCTTTCTTTTAAAAAACCCTTCTGATACAGATTTTAATTTAAATTTGTCTAAGAATTAAATTATATTGACAAAAATATGTTGTAAGAAAAAGAACTAAGATTCAATCTAATCAGAAGATTGTTAGTCTAAGGCGATGTCATCATGGAAGTCACTGGTTTGCTTTGAGCTGGGCCCTTTTTCTCAGCCCAGTTTACCTTATAGGGGCATTATGAGGAAAAATGAATAAGGCTATGAATGCCATCATATATTCTTGTGAAGAAAGGCAGAATGTAAATAAATAAATGTCCATCTGCAGGAAGGTTTTCCTTATGGAAGAATGTATAGAGAACTCTTCTGTGAGCATACATGGGTCTTTCAGTTGATTAAACCTCTGCATTGAATGATTTGACTGCTGAATTTGTGCATTGGTCCATATAAGATCTAGTATAGAGGCAATATAAACAGTTTTTTTTCTTGACTTTTATATCTAATGATTTTTTTATTAGTACTGCTATGCAATTATTTGTTGACCAGACTATATAAACCAGCCAAACATACAGAATACATTTTGTATGTCAAAGCAGTTGGCAGTATTGAGCAGTACCAAGTATGCCTCCAGGTTATTAGAACTAAAATGATATTAAATGGTTTCTGAGGTGCAAAAAGGTTAATTCAAGGGGAGTCAGCAAGAAAACCATCCTGGCGGAAAACATAAATGCATTTTTTAATATTTAAACAGTGTCATTCTGCAGCCCAAAACAGCAACAATTGTCAAATGAAATCTACTCCTAAGAATTAATCAAAATGTACTACATAGCACAGATCTAGAAGACGATTTCCTTCAGAAACCATTCCCACTGAAATGGTTGCCTATCTTACTTTTTATTCAATGACTAGCCTATTATCATGGATAATTTTTATAGTTCCGGTGTCCTTTTAGATGTTTGTAAGTTGCTTTTTCCCTCAATCCCCTTGACTGCAAGTATCACTGTAGAAATTGCAAAATTAGTATTTCCTTTACAAAACAAGTTTCTTTGATTTCATATTACAGAGGAAAGAAAACAATCTAGTTTGGTTAATAAAGGGCAAAACTGCATGACCTTGTTAAAAGGATAAACAACGGGATAAGCTCACACTAAGTGATGTGTTAAGGGACCCACAACCTACCTATCTCCTTCCTTCCTTCCTTCCTTCCTTCCTTCCTTCCTTCCTTCCTTCCTTCCTTCCTTCCTTCCTTCCTTCCTTCCTTCCTTCCTTCCTATCCCATCATTGCTGCCACTGACCCATGTTTTGACTTCTCCCCTATCTATATACAGTATGTTTCTCCAGGTTCCATTATAATTTCTTGAAGAATACATGGTAAACTCTCATAGTGTAGTCATTCCATCTTCCCAATAGAAATGCAGCAAGGAATGTCTACCATCATTTTAAGCTGAAAACATACAACTAAGGATGCTGCACCATATTTCCTCAAGGTCATTAGTGTTAGTTAACCTCAAGCTATCTCTTGTCTGGTAACAAGAGATTTCTTTTTACACTGCCAGTTCTGACCAAAGAGTGCTGTTATGTTATGGATATGACCAGTTTTACCAGACAGTAAGTCATTCTGTCATGGAGAAAATAACACCAACGTGACGGCACATAATCACGGTCATTGTCAAGTCTCTCTATGAGTTATTACATAATTTTTTGGGTGGCATTGATAGCACAGGCCCCAGACTTCCCAGAACAGTTCCACTGGAGGAGATGTAGGATACAGTGGTGGCAGAAATACTTGGTTGTTGTTGTCTGTTATCATCACTATAGAATAGGCTTGAAGAAGAATTCTTTACCTCCATCCATTGTACGGTACTCATTTTGAGTATGCTGCTGCCATAGTGTTCTGCTGTCCCTCTTATTTCATTGCCTCTAGGTTCCTAGTAACTGAAGGATCCATGCAAGCTCTGTTCGTTTAGAGAGGCCACTTAGAAAACACGTGTCCACTGCTTGAACTAGCTCCATGTGACACATAGCTAAAGCTGCCACAAAAACTCTGAGCACTTTTTAAAAAATTGTAGAGCCCTTAGGAACCATTTGGACTCATTGGTCTTTATAGTCAAACTGTTCTAACTGGCCCAATGCTGCGGAGTGAGAACGCAAAATCAAAACTGTTACTGTACATATGTCTTGTAATGATCAGGAAATCCAGATGAGGTGGCCTTAGCATAAATTAAAGCCCCCTAAAGGGAACATCTGGGCGGGTCCTCAAAACCAAACATATTATATCAGTGCCCTCAGATAGCAGGAACGTAGGGCAGCAGAATAGGGAATATATCAATCCCTAATCCCTAAAACCCTAATCTGGCAGGTTGCTTTCTCCACACTATATGAAATTACACACACACATACACGTATACATACTTATATGATATAGAATGATATGATAGAATATGCGTATACAATTCTGCTTAACAGTAGAACAGGACAATCCACCAACTTTTATGGAAGCTTCTTAGCTTCTTAAATATGCTAAAGTTTGGTGAATTGGCTTATATTATGATAGTGTTTATATATTCTTTTGCTGTCTCTGTTGTTACTGATTCCATCTCTATGGGCTAGAATTCAGCACTGAAATCTGACAATGCGTGAGCAAAAAATAAACTTGTTCAATAAATCTTTCTCTTGCTTGATCCTCAAAACATCCCCATGTAACCCCTGAAAAGTTTCCCTGGTAGGTTAAGAGATCTACAGATATTGTGGACTGCATCTTTTAAGTCTGAGTAGGAGAGAGAAAAACCAATCTGTTGCAACTGAGATGCAGTATTTCTTACTTTCATTAAGACCATGATAGAAATATACCCAGTCTCTCCATTCTTAGTTGTTTAATTGAGGTGGGCATTGTTGGGGGCTTTTCAGAACCAATATAGATCTAATGGCATTCATATTATTTGACTCTCTACATTTGGGATTTTTGAAACATTTAGTAAGGGAAGACTAGTTAGATTAAGGCCATGCTACCCACACAATTTGAATCAGATTTCTCTCCTCATACCTGCTACTAAAGGGCATGAAAGAGAAAGAAAATGATATCAATGTGAATTTTCCTTCTATTATAAACTGCTGGAGAGGGTGGGGGAGTCTAATCAGGGCAAAGGATAGTCCCTTCTCTGTCCCACCCCTTCTTTTGCACAGGAAATACACACAAAGCCAAACGATGTGAATGTTGCACCTAGTTTTCACTTCAGAGTATTCTCTGGTGGTGGGACTGAGAGGGAATCTATATGAGAAAAGTTGTTTGGATATGTAAGCCCCTTTAATTAGAACTAAAGTGGATTTTTGTTGAAACAGTCATTAAAAACATGAGCTTCCATGTGATTTCTGTGTAACATTTACCTTGGCCTTCAAACACCCTGAATTACATGAAGTTGTTAGAATGAGTGGGAAACAGATATTTGGCCAAGATGTCGGCATAATTAGCTGCAACCTCTGCTCCTGTTGATTTTGGCTTTATTTTCATCTAAAGAGTTGTGCATTTAGATTGATAAGCAGGTGACTAATCTTTGTTTTTATTGATCTTATTGGGAAATAGCTCATAGGTTGTCTAGATGCCTTCAAAAAGAGGAAAATCCAAAACTGAGAAGCAGCCTCCATCACAGCACAGCGGTGGTGGCAGCAGTACCATCTTCTCCTTCATCCACCGACGAAGAAGATGAAAGGGTAATGTCTTATTTTAAACAAATGAATAAAAATATTACTGTAAATATAAAAGAATGGCAGTTTGGAGAGAGATACTTGAAGTGTCTGCTGATTAATTCCAACCAGAATTAATAAATTAGAAAGCAGCAGCTCCCAATTAAAGGACAAGCAATCACCTACTAAAACGCTATAACAAATTTACAGAAAGCTAATCAAATGTTACAAACCAAGCCTACATACTTGGAAACACAATCATACTAGAGGAATATATTTAAAAAAAATAGCACTGCAGAAGATATAGAAAACTGTCACCACACTGTCTTTACTGAGTTCTTCTTGTATGAGATACCTGGTTTACTGATGGACTTTTCAGTCTGAAATATGCATGGCTGACCAGGTCCCCTTCCCCCTTTAGAACAAGAATAAATATTCTTGGATCTTTTTTTGTTTTGTTCTTAAGATTTACAACTAAGGAGACCTACTTCTACATCATGGTCTCTGTGATTCATCCACATCAGCTCCGGGGCTGAGAAAGTCCTACTCCAAACTTCTAAAGCTTAAAGAATGGTTTGAAAAAGCATATGACAATACCTACCCTGTAGCTTCAGGTTCACAGCATCTGCAAACCTTCAGTTTGTTTTTGACTGCCACAACATTTGCACATTTGACCTTGAGCAGATTATCCTCTTGTTTTATCAACTTTGTTTAATTTTCCTTGGTTTTTTTCCTTCCTTAATCTTCTTTCAACCCTTATTTAAATTTCCTTAGAAATCTCTGTCAGGACACTGGATCCTCTCATTGCAGGCGTTTGTCCTTATGGCCCTAAAGGCCTCCTTTTCTAAGTGCCAGAGTTACTAGAGCAAACTGTTGCTCTTGATGAGCCTAGACCATTTATGTCTTGTCTTTGTGAAAATCTAGCAGGAGACACTCTTTAGCACTGTCAGACATTTACAAAACAGGTTTGTTGTAATTGTTCTTCTTATTTGTGAGCCACTCTCTGGGAGCAGATTTCAAGAGAAGCTTCTGAAAGTACTGTGGTCCTCCCAGCCTCTTATTGCACCTAAGCAATTGGCTCCCTTGTCTCTTTAAGAGATCAATCAAATTCTCTACTACCCACAGAGGATCCTTCGATCTCAGCGATTGGCATCAAGGAAATTGTCCTCTAAGGTTTCAAAGTCTTTTAAGAGGGCTGCCCCAGCTGCTTTTAACCAGAGCAACCAGAAAAAAAGGGTTTAAGATCATGTTGCCTCCCCGACTTCAGTTCCAGCAGCCTCTTAGACCTTGATGGTCCCTGTTATGCCTATTTGGGAACCATCTGGCTTACATTCAAGGTATGTGACATAATTAACAACTTTGGGTTCTGTGGAGTCCTTGGGGTTCCCTGAACTTGGTTCTTTTCTTGCAAACATCCTCAGTGGATGTTACCTAGCCGGATCATGAAACGTTTGCAAGAAAAGAACCAAGCTCAGAGAACCCCAAGGACTCCACAGTTCAACCCTGAACTGTACATATTCACCTCTATTGGTACTTTGGGTTCTGCTGATCACTTTGCAGGTTTACCATATTGATTTCTGAACTAAGCCCTCAAAAACATCACCCTGTCACCTCCAAGGCATTTCCAGAGTTATGGCAAGAGGTTTGCCTCCTTCTACAAAAGTGGAAAGGGAGAAGGTCCCTCTGTGGGGCTGCACTCCCAGCTTCTTTTCTAGGTGCTTTACTGTACTTACAGAGGATCACACTTATGTTGGCTTGTCTCAGCTATTTTTCTGAGGCACTTTCAGGATAATATTGATAGCTTCCATTCTTTCTCATTTACAGAAGTGGATGTGGTTTATGCCTAAATTTGTGGAGTGCGCACCTTCCCATACCTAGAATATCTTCCCATCATAGCGGATCCATTTACGAACTTAGTATTCTACCATTTGCTGTCTCCGAGCCCTAAGAACTTTCTTTCTAAATGTATAGCACATGTTATTACATTTCTCTGCTTCCAAAGTATTATTTTGTTCTGTAGTCTAAGTGCAGGTGGCTTCTACTTGCATTTTCCTTTGCTGAGCTATTTCAGCACATAGCTGAAGGCCTTCTGCCTCTACAGCTCCTTGCCCTCTAGGTCATTTATGAGAAGCCTTCCCTTCTTCCCCCACAGGTTATCCAATTCATACTAACAGTGATAGGCACTACCAAAGGAGCCATTTTCTGTGATTGCCATGATTTTGTATGCTTCAGGCACTTAGACAAAAGATCTCTCTAATGAGAGTCAGAGCCCACAGTGTGCTTCTGTTGCTAGAAAATATGGCAGCTTGCTTTGCCTGATTTTGGGTACAACAGCCCTGATACCTCTGTTCCTATTCTCTGAAAAAATGGACATAAGACAGCTCTACCTTCAGTTCTGCCCTGCTGGTGGAATCTCTCTGCTGGTAACGTTCAGTCTCACAGGATTGTTGCTTTCTGCACCATCCCCTCCGATCCTTGTTCTTACAAAAGACAACCATGGAGAGGTAGGGAGATCATCTCTGAATCCTCTGCACACTTTCTGCTAGGTCGGAGCATGAAACATTGTGAAACATCAACCAACATGAGCTTCTCGCAGTATGAAAAGCATCCAGACCTTCCAAGGCAGTTTCCATGGCCGGATTATTCAGACAGGACATCCGCAGGGGGTGGTATTAAAATGATAAGTGCAACTGGGCACTCAACCTTTTTTTACATGTCAGAAGTGGACAGGGCTTTGATCGCCCATCCTGTTGACACAGTTGGCCCTCCCCCCCCGCCCACCACGATGGCTCGCCCTTTTAAATTTAAGTAAGA